TCCCTTCTGTTCTTTTTCTTTAAAAATCCATCTGCAGCCAGCTGCTATGCTGGGGAAATGACAGGTAGTTTTTTTGAGATACTTTGTGTGGAGGTTCCTCTGATTCTATTTTGTGCAATATGGGAACTTGAAACCAGGCAGAAAGGATTCATGCTTCTGAATTGTCACCAACATCTTGTTTGAGGGAGCATGGAGAACAATAATAACATTCGGTAAATAGTAGTCAAGAATAGAAGCCTTTTGGCAGTCCCTCAGGTACAGATACTACATATATTCTTTGGGACAGTTTAAAAATTGTGTTAGCCGCCCCCAGGTTTAAAATAAAGGTCTTACTGAATACTCTTGTCTGATTCACGATTTTAATTCTATTCTATTTATTTGGTTTTTAAGGAAGAAAAGCTTCTGAAAGCACTTGTGCGTCATGGAGTGCGCAGTGGAAAAACTGCCAGCCTAGAAATGGAAGTGGATGGGCTGCCCTTCTACAACACCCATTCGCTCATGATTGAAAAGCTGCTGCAAGAAGTGCAGCAGTGACTGCCCCCAGTGATTTCTGTACCAAGAGTTGCTCCCGTGTCATTTCTTTATTCCCCAAGCTTCCACAAGGTATAAAAAATCAGAAAAAGAGGACTTTTCATCTCTGATGTCTTGGCTGTGCACAACCTTTCATTGTTACTCTTACATCTCTGTGAAGCGAGAAGGGGATCATCATGATTTGGTCTACCTTTCTTTTCTGTAATTTTATAACGAACAAAGGATATTAAATGATACTATGTACTAAGAGGTGATCTGGCTTGTACAAAGAAAGCTCATCATTAAAATGAAATATTATTGCAGTGCTGTTCCTGTTTTACTAACCTCATAACTGCAACAGGAAGTAACTCTTGTAGCAACTTGGATTTAAAAATACCTTGTGGTGGGGAAAACAGCTGCAGTGGAGAGGGGAGGTTCAAAACAAAAAAAACCCAGCAAGTGTTACAGTAGTGAAAGCTGTTAACTACAGCCCCCCTGCACATCTCCTGTAGGCCCTCTAACGCTCTTCTTACGGTGGTGGATAATTTGTGGAAGTGTGAGGAGATACGGGGAGAGCTTTAACTGAACTAATGAAAATAAGGGCAGCACTGCAGACATTCTGTGTAAAGTGCAGGCTACACCCTTGGCCTCCTTCTTATTAGTAGTTTACCCTTCTGTCCCTTAGTAATACTCTTAGTATTTTGTCCCTTTCTGAGTAATACAGAAAGGGTGTAGGCATTTCAGGGTCTCCTGCTGTTAAGAATAAATGAATTAAATAGTGATTAAAAATAATGCTTAGGAAGTAAAGCATGATTAGAAATTAAAAACATTTGCATTCAGTACGAAGTAAAATTATGTAAATTAACATTGGATGAATTCCAGTTATAGAAATTCAGCTCCTGATGAGACTGAGTGAAGCAAAATTAAATTATATCTCAAGGGCCTACTAACACTGAACATGACAAATGGTACATGACAAATGGTTACAAATTGTGCCTGACTTTTGTCATCTAAAGCTATGATTTTACTTCAACTCCAGGTGAGGGCCAGGGCTGAAATTCTGCTAGTTGTCAGCCCTCGCAGCAGAGAGGACAGGTATATTTGACACTGCACCTCTCAGGCACTGATGCCTTAGCTGTCTAAAATGATTATGATGGTACAAAAGGCAAACATCAAACCACTGAGCTTTACCAGGATGAGAATGGCAGTTCTGTTTAGCCACTGCTTTTTTTAAAGGACGGCACACTTCCAGCAGCCAGCAACGCCTTGTATCTACTTTTCTTTCTGGCAGGTGAGTTTATTTTCTTTCTCTTATGTAAGACAAACACCTAACTTTTTGAGAATGAGAAAAATCAGTTAGTACCACAAACACCAGCATACTTTGAACATTAATCTTCTGAAGTCCTTGAGGATACACAGCCTTTAAAGACTTAAAACAGTTGAACGCATGCAAGAGAAAGAAATCTTAATGGCAGACTTGCTGCTAGATGTTCAGACTCACAAAAGCTCCCAACATTTATTTTATGGATCAGTCATTTTTTTAGATTCATTTTATTTAAAGCCTTCTTGAAGGATGTTGCAGTGAAACTATATTTGAAGTTTTACAATTAGAAAATAGCTCCTTTAGAAGTCTTCAAATTCTCCAAACTATAACTATTAGGTAAAATATTTCATATGAATGCCTAAGTTTTTTGCCAAAGCCAGTAACCCTGTAGGATGGCACATGTTCACTGTGCCATAGAACCCACAAAATGAAATTAGCATCATTTTACAATGTCTGTTTGCAAAAAGAAACAGCTGATTTCCTTCTGTGTGCTATATGCCTTGTAATTTACAGGCATATTACACTAATAGCCACAATGTATATTATTCTTTCCAAACAGTCACTTTTGTTAAAAAAAAAAATCATTTTGTAAGATTTTGCTCTTTTTTCACCAAAATACAAGTTTTAACAGTCAGATTTCATTAATATAAAGATGTAATTATTTACTTATCTTTTTCTCTAATGTGTATTTTTAAAATCCCTTCTCCTGTGCAGTCCCAAGTGCTGTATTTAATATGATAGCAAGTGATGTGTAGCATATCTCCAGCAACCATAGTAGGATTCTTGATTGACTATGTTCTGTCTGAGATGGAAAAAAAAACTCTGAGAGTTACCTCCTCCTGTATTGGTTACAGTTCTGCAGCCTGAGCCTAACAGTTACAATATATAAAGAATTGATAAAACATTGACATAAGAAAAAAGAAAAAAATGAAGAAAAAAGTCCCCCTTCTCTTGTGGGTTAGCAGGTTAAATGTTGAGAACTGTAGCAGAATGCTGGACTCAGTTACACAAGTTTCCATCTGATTTTAAACTGCAGCAGCTGACCAAGAGCTGACCACATCAAAGTACCAACTCAAATAAACCTTAATCCCTCAGATGACAATTCGATGTAATATGGCACGCTCTGCATTCCAGCTGTCTAATCTAAACAACATGGGTAATTGTAAAGAAGTAAAGCATAAACAGGACAACAAACACTTCATCCTAGAACAAACCACATGTGCCTTACAGCCTGCCAGGTCACGGGAGTGCAAGCAGTTGGTTCAGTGCTTAAAAACACACAGGCATGGCACTAGGGCAGTCGGGAGTCCCTGCTTTACAACCCTGTTGATACAGACAGGAGATTAGCAGAAGGATTAGGAGAAAGCAAAGTGGCTAACAGTCAGATGAAAAAATGCATGCATAAAGCAATTAATCCAGCTTGGTGAGTGGTCTAAGTATAAAGAAATGTAAAATAATTAAACAAACCAAATGTTAACCTAAGCAAATCTAATCCCCTCCTGGGAGCTGGGACGTGAATCCTTTCTGCAAGAGGAACAAGGAGTAGAGGATCTCTAGTCTCACAAATAGAAACTGTGGGCCAAAGCCATAAAATAGTTATTTCAAACACAGAGTGAACAAATATAGGAAGAAAATAATAAAATCTTTCTTTATTAAACACATCCCCTAATTATTTCTAATATTGCACTCTCAGGGTGGTTTCCAGAAAACTGTTAGAATACATTGCCTTTTCGAAACTGATGACAAACAAGGCTGTCTTACAATGACATACTTCAGATACCAAGAGTAGACCATCTGTTGAGAGAATCTTTTGACATTTTAAAAAAAGAAACAAAACTGATTATACTGCTGGAAGTTATCAGCTCCAGGTTGCAGAGAGAGAGCTGTTTCAAGAAAAGTTTGAAACCAGAGAACTGAAAGGATAAGGCAATATTCATAGTGTAGCAGTCACAGATACAAGAACTTGTGATGAGCAGATCACAAAGAAGAAACATACAGGATTCATTAGCATGATACAGAAAAAACCCCAAACAAACTAGACAGGAGAGAGTGGTAGAAACACTAGTATAGAGCACAACTCCCACATCTTTAGCTGACATTATTTCCACTTATTCCAGTATTTTGTTTCTGTCTAAACCAGGAAACATAAATCACTCATACATCATATTTCTGATACTGTATTTACCGACCAATGACCAAACCCTAAGCTACAGTATCTGTGGGGAAAAAAAAGTTTAAACAGAGTCCATTTAACAGTTTCCCTGACAAATGCATTGTTATTTAATTGCCTGCATGGTCTATGCTGCACAAGAAACACAATTTTCAAAGGACACAATCCAAACCTTCACAAGGTTTAGTAGAACTCAGATGTAGCTAAATTTGTCTTTGAACACAGTGACTCAGAGAAGCACATTGGTTCAAAGTGCCTTATGTACTACCAACCTCCTGTTCTTTCCCAAGCCAACAGGCCAAATTATTTACCCCCATCAGAGGTAATAGATCTCCTACCTCTGATAGTCAATAGGAGCCTTATGATGAGGTTCAACAGTCAATCAACAGACTGAAAGTCTCAGCAGATGCTGAGTTCCTTGTGCATGTTCTCCCAGAACTTCTCACATTATTGGATTGGTTGTTTTAGGATGTTGGTTGTCACGGTTTCTGCAGGCCTTGCAACTGGCTGAAGGAGAAGTTATTTCAGAGGGCTACAGGAATGTTAGACAATTATTATTTTTTTTAATATATGTAATTTGTTCTGTCTCCAAACTTTTCAATAGATAATGACAGCTTGTAGAGAATTATTTTTTCTAGATGCTACAGCAGCAAACAGAAAGCAGTGAAAGACAAATTCAACAGAAACACACACCTTGAGTACTAGCTGATTCCAGTCAATGCAGTCATCAAGACAACAGGTTTTGAGTGGTACCACAATGACAACAGACACGTGATTGTAACTGAACTGACAGCATGTGCTTTCCTCACTATTGCCAAGGTCCAAGCATCTCCAGAAATGACCTCACTGTACTGCATAGCTAAATAAGCCTTTGGGAGGTAATGCTGTTGTAATATACGGATAAATCAGATGAATACACAAACACACATAGCTGCAGATTTTAGGTTAATGTCCTTTTTTGATGAATGCTATAGGCTACCCATGTTAGTTGTGGAGTCATCCTTCAATACCTTCATGTGATATTTGTAATAACCCTGGTTGTTGCTCATGTGGCCTGTTGGGAGTTTCTGGAGCATTCAGTGGATAGGATTCTTTCGTCTCAGTCCTCAGACACCCTAAACACGTTAAACAAGAGTCTCGCATCTTGGCAAAGTTCTGGTAAGTGCTTTCACTGGAAAAACAGTACAATAGTGGATCAGCAACACAGTTAAATGTAGTCAACAGAAGAGAAACATGGTAAATATTAAATATTTTCTCAGCAAATGAGCAGTTGTTCTCCAACAAGCTGCGAACCACAAGTAGGATGTGGTATGGTCCAAAGCAAACTAAAAAAATGAACACAGTACTTGAAACCAGTCGTTTAATTTGGGTTTTCTTCTTCTTTTGAGTGCCATGACTCTTGTGGACAATTCGTAAAATCCCACAGTAAGAGAAGGCCAGCAGAAAGAAGGGGAAAAGGAAACCAGCAGAGAAGCGGTAGTAATTGACATTGTGCTCCCATTCTTTGATGGGATAATGCTCGAAGCACACCACGTGACTCTCAGCATCCATACTGATCTCCCCGTGCGTAAAGACAAAGCCACATGTCATTATTTCTTTGGCCCAGATAACGATGCTCACAATCACAGCAGCCTTCATTGTCCGAAACTGTTGAAACCGAAAAGGGTGCACTACTGCAAGATAGCGGTCAATGGAGATGCAGCAGAGGAAGCCCACACTGATGTAGATGTTCTCATACAAGAGGATGCCACAAATTTTGCACAGCAGCTCATTGTAGGTCCAGTTGTCATGCTGTAAAACATACTGAAGCCAAAAAGGCAAAGAAAATATGTAGAGCAGGTCTGCTACAGTCAAATTGCAAAGGTAGATACCCAATTCATTTTTAGCCTTGATCTGCAAATACCCATAGTACAGTGACAGGCAGTTAGCTGGCAAGCCCAATATAAATACAAATATGTATACCACAGGGGATAATGTCTGGTGGATATCATGATTAATAATGCACTTCTCAGTTGCGTTCTCCGTGAAATTCACCATCTTCTACCTCTCCCCATGTATCACTCATCAGAGTCCCGAATGAATAGATGAAAATTTAATTTAATCCAGTTTCATGTATTGCTTATTTCTTCCACAAGCCTTTAGGCTGAAGCGATGACTTGCTGCAGGATGTTAATAACCTGAAGGTAAAACGCATGAAAACCTTTAGAAGGGACACAGTTGTCAAATATATAGTACAGTTTTCAGTAAGCTGCCTTTTCCTAGCCCTAAATTTTCTCGTAGCCTTTGATAGAAGATAAAGCCTGTCTGGGAAATCACGATGCACATGAGTAAGTACTTACCAGAAAAGCACTAAAAAATTTTGTGTCCAAGAATCCCAAAGCAAATTACAAACATTTGTCGCTTTAGCTTTGCGAGTATCTAAAAGGCAAAGAACTATCATCTGTTTTACAGATGAGGCACAAAAGCAGTAATCTGATTTGTCCATGATTAATAAAATGTCTCTACAAACCAGCAGACCAGTCAGACATCCTTAGATGATGCAGGGTGCACAAAACAGTTGATTTTTAATTTCAGTTCCTTAAATTTCCCTTTAGATACAAGATACCATGAAATAAGCAGTTCAACCCATCAGGATGAAAAAAAAAAAAAGCCAAAAACAAATCAGGAATTTTTAGCAGTCTCTCTTACAGTTATGTGTAAAGACAATCCTGAAAGCAAGCTATCTTTCTCTGTTGGAAGGACACTAAAAATCTGGTACAATTTATCCCCATGGTCTCAGTCCTACAGGACATGTTATTACAGATTCCTTATTTGCCATCAACTTTCAAAAACACTCATTTACTGTTGCTATCTATACATTTGTATCTTTCCTTTTCATTTTCCTCAAATATGAATATAATCGTTTTCACCTGAAGAATCTTCTATAATCCAAGCACATACTCATACAAACCATTCCTTTACTATGTTATTATTATTTAAGATGTATCAAAATTACTTCTGACAAAGGGTTAGCATTTGGTTCAACTAGGACAAGTATTCAGCCTTGAGCCAGCTCATTGATTAAACCCTAGACTAAACCAAGTATCACATTCAGTATTTTATCACCTTGTGATATATTCACACTGGCACAAATGCTCAGGACTGGAAAACAGCGGGGCAAACTCTTCCCACTCTGAAGGGGGTTGTATGTTTTACCTGATGATACAGAACAGCCAGACTGTATTTCTTTCAATCTCTTCCCAGAAAATGCACAGTTGTCGTGTATACTTTTGTGTACTCTTCCTACAGCCTCAGTTAATACGGATGCAAAAGGAGCCAGCACTATCCAGGGATAAAGATAAGGCCTTGTTGTTTCTTTCCTGTTTACTATCCTAATTTGTATTTTTGTCATCATCTTCTGTCCTGTCTAGGAACATACAATTTTTTCCAAGGGAACCCCTATGAAAACATGACCACACTACACTAAAATTACTGTCAGCTGCAGCATTTGAGGATGTTACTTGTCAATTTTTTTTTTTTTATAAATGCTTTTTTTTAAGTAGTGGCAGGCTTTACTCCTCTAGAAACTGAAAAGAAAATAACTTCCTTTTGGCCAGAAAATAATTGACTGGTGGAAATAAGTGACCAAACCTGCAAAGACTTTAATTGTTTAGCTTCAACCGGTGTAGCACAGTCCCACAGAAATCACAGCAAATTTAAGGACACATGTAAATATTTAAGAATTAGAACATGGTTTTCATTCCTTTGCTTTTCCTCTTTTTCTTACCAACAGACAGAAAGAACATCAGCCCTAGTTTTGGTGGAAGTATTCTTGGGGATCTCAGATACCTTCAGTCATGAAACAAGAGGCCAACATAAACTCATCTCTGAAAACTTCTAACTTCCTTGTTCAACGCAACACGTGTGAAAGACTGGTCGAGTCTAGCAAAGCACAAAAGCTCTGCTCCTCCTTTCACTCTCATGCAGCTCCTTTGGGGGTCAAGAGACTCGCCCCCTCCACTGCGGGTGGCACAATAGCTATAACAGATAAATCAAGCACAAGCAGTAGAAATGCTGCCTAAGGGACCCAGTCACAGACACCTACAGTTCAGTTTGAAGTTTGCTCCAAGAGATTGCCGTAACATTCCTACGGAACAATGATGATAACCGTCTGCTCGGTTAGCAGAGCAGGTGTGTACAGCAGAAATTAATCTCTAAAGTTACATACAAATTTCCTAAAGGACTGTTACTTAGGGGCCGTTAGCTCCCCTGTAACACTGTCCATTTCCTCAATGGTTTCATAACTATCATGCAGCTCTTCTGTCTACAGGAGACCTGGCTCCACACCCGCAAGGATAACACACAGAATCTTTCCCAAGGCAGCTTTGATAACCTACTTACCCCACCCCACCTTTTTCAATCCAGAGCTCCAGGCCAAGTACAACTGTATTTGAGTTTGCATTTGATACCATTTCATTTCTGTATAATAATATGGTGACTTTTAAATGTAAAAGTTTGCCTGCACAGGACGATTGGCACACCTAGTTACAGTCTAAAATGCCTAAAAATCTGGAATCTATCATCTAATCTACCAACTAAAAGTGTCCAGTCAGTGTCCAGCTCCTGCTGACAAGGCCAAATAGTAATTCAAAAGCTGTTGACAATTTTTAAAAGTCAGAACTGTTTTTACATGTCTAGCACAGTTCTACAGTGCTGAGTTTGTTCAGTGTTGCCCAGTGAGTCAATATGGATCACAGTGTGAGAAAAAGCAGATGTGCTCCACAGTTGCACTGTTTTTTGAAAATGTTTCTTTTCCTCTAAGAACTCAAAATGTTTTTATTAAATTATGTTAATGTCACAGAGAACATGACTGTAAAAATCATTTCTGTTTAGCTTAAAAGTCTTGGCACAATGCCAAATGTGAAGAAGACAGCAAAAGTCTTACTGATATGACATTATGCTAATATAAGATACACTTATGATCACAGCACCATTTCCTGCTCCGGGAGGAAGTGCTGGAGTGGGCTGTTTCAGGGGGCAGGAAGAGAGGGCTGGCTGTTACAAATCTCTTTGCCTGGTGCTAACTAACCCTCTCCGATTTCAAAGATGGGGATGAAAAACAAATGTCTAGATTCTTGCTTGTGCAATAGTTTTCTTATACTGCTCTTCTGACCATCAGCAGCAGTGAGCCAGGAAATCCTTCCTTCGTGTCAGGCTCCTCAGCAGGTGGGCTCTGGGAGACCTTTGTGCCCTCTGACCCCTTGTGCCTGGCTAGGGACTGGCTCAGTAGCCAAAGGGAAATACAAAGGTAGTTCCCCTTTCCCCCAGCACCAAGTACACTAAACTCTGCTCTGCACCAGCATGATTTTTGAACAAATCTGGTATCAAAGTGCTGCAATGGCAGTGTTAAACAAGAGCCCACCCTGTTATTAAGAACATAATACACAGTAGTTTACAAGCTGTCTGGAAAGGGGAAACTGAAGGAAAAGTGACCCAGGGTACGGGACAAATCGCTCCCCCGTTACCTACTAACCTTGTCCGGGTAGGGGAGGAGAAAAATGAAAAAAGTTGCTGTATGGAAAACATCTGGGGTGCAGATAATCATAAAGCTGAAAGCAGTTACAAACAGGAACACAGAGGCATTCCTCTTAGACAGCTTTAATATGGAAGTAGTGCAGCTGTGTGATTTTTTTAGAGCACAGTTTATGTAACAACTTCAGTATCATGAGTCTGCAGACATTTCCAGGCAATATTTCTCTCTCATATATGCCCACATCTTTTAGATGATACATATCTAGGCCCAAGTCTTGGCAACAAATTAGAAGACTTTCATCGTCTACGTGAGCTTCAAACAATTCTCTTGTTCCTGGATTAAAAATAAAGCCAAGGATCCCTCGGCTTCAGAGAGCCTTACTTTTTCTTGGTTTAAACAAGCCAACTTTCATTACTCACTGGACAGTTCAACAACAGGTTATTTCTTTCCCAACTCCTTTGTTCCTTAATGGTTCACAAACCGTGACTTCCCCCTGCACCATGAACCATGGAGCAGCTCACGTGTGAAGCCCTGTCTGCACAGGAAGCAGCTCAGAGCCACTTGCAACAACCACCTCTTCAGCTCAGCCCAGTAGTAGCTGGAGCCTGGGTGGGTTTTTTCAGCTTCAGTGAACATTGTTAGAATTTTCCTCCTAAGAAATCTGTCTGCAGTTAGACCTACATATTTTTAGCAGAGACAAATGGGACTACACCAGAGGACTTCCTTGTAGGAATTTGCAAAATTTGTGCACACAGCTTGTCTCATCCACAAAGTACTTGTCCCCATGAACAGGGAGTGTAACATGGTCCTGTGCCTTTATGTGACAGTAGCTCTCTTGCTGTTTAATCTGTCCCTGCACCCGTCATACACCACGGACAGGCCTGAGTCACTTTGCTGTCATAGCAGTACTTGAACTGTGCTGCGTATCTTGGAGCCAGAAACTTGAGGCTGTTTCAGTTTAGGATTTGGTTCAGATCATTACCTACAGGAACACCAGCTCTTAAATTCACACACTAAGCTTCCCCCAACACTTGAGGGTTTGTCAGCTTGGTTTCCTGTTTCACGAAGCTTGGAAGAATAAGGTCAGGTAAAGAGGCTGGGAAGTGATGACCAGCAGAAGAGACTAGGGACCAGTCAAACAATATAGAATGGGCAGAAACTGGTCAATATCCTTAAAGCAAGTTTGAAGAAAAAAAAAATATAGAAGAAAGTGGAAATCAGGAAATTGGGGTGTGTGACTGAGTATGACAAAATGGCACAATGATGTTTGGATCAAATTGGAAGAATTATGATGTAAAAATGCAGGAGGGTTGGAGAAATATACATCAATCAGCATAGCTTCAACCAGGACAAGTCATCAGACAGTCAATACACATATCCATGCATTTACAGAAGTGACTCAGCTGCGGAGACTCACCCCAAGTGAGTCTTGTCATACTTCAGAAGATGAAGCTGCGCTGGGGTTAGCAAGTGCCCTTATTTCACACCCTCCCTCAGAAAGGTGGGAGAAGCTCCAGCCTCAGTCCTACCAGCTTTCTGCAGGAGGACCAGTGCAGGCATGGATCATGTTCCAGTGAGCAGAAAGGAGAGTTAGAAATGATAAAGGACAGTAGTGGAAGCTGGTCTCATCTCCCCTTATAAATCCATGAACCTGTTGCCTCC